AGGGGCTCAATGTAAGGAGGTGGTCAACTATGGAGGTTCTACCCTGTTTCAGTGGTAAACCATCCAAAAGGAAAGCTCTTGGAACCCTAAATCTGAATTAAACTGCAAATTGATTAGAACACTGGAAGAAAATCTGAAAAAGGAACTTAGATGTATAAAGCTCAGAGGAAAGTTTCAGGATTCTGAAAAATAAAAGCAGCCTACGCTATTCAGCCTTTACAAATACAGCATCGGCAACCACAAAAAGCTACACCTAACATTTTCCCTAGCAAGGAGTCAGTAACTAAAATTCTTGCAATAATAAGAAGTCAAGCCAATATTAACCTTTTCTAGCTTGAGATTGAAAGTTAGGACTTTTCTTTCTTCTATGTTGGTAGTAGACTGTCTTATTCTAAGAATTACCCCTGACTTTAGCTCTTTGTCAGTTCACTGGTGGTTTCTCATGTTTTCAATTTTATAAATAATCCAGTTTTTTGACCTGAAAATTAGAGGCCATGATAAGAGCACACATATCTTAGGAACCTATGAAGGAAAGCACTTGAGGATGGGAGATCCAAGTTCTTTCTTCCAAAAGGCAGAAATATTGAATATTACACATGAGATTCCCTCCTTTCCCCAGCCAAGAATGGTCTAAGAACAAATGCTAAATCTTTTACTTCTGGGATTTAAAGTCAGGTATATTAAGTCATCATTAGGATGTTCTAATTATAAATATATGAATCTTTCCTTCTTATGTTCATCTCAGATATTATCCCAAACAGAACACAGTATATACATCCTTACTATATGCTAAGCAGTGTTCTCAGCACATTACAAATATCATCTCTTTGTAATTACCCTATAAAGTAAATAGAATGCCCACTCCACTTCTTAGGGGCGCAGACACAAAATTAGGGCTCAGACAGATTAACTAATTTGTCTCAAGCCACACAGTTAATAAGGGATAGAGACGGTATCTGGTTTTAGAAACTGTGGGCTTAACACAGACTAATGCCAGATTATATGCTTTAAATTATTAATTTATGGTGTCCCTGCGATCAGTATTTATTACTCATGGTAGTTCACAGAATTGTTGGAGCTTGTTTTATTATAATAGTTAAAACATCAGTTGGTGGAGCTGGGCACAGTGGCTCACACCTGTAATCCCATCACTTGGGAGGCTAAGGCAATAGATTTTAGCCTGGGCCAGAGTGAGACTCCATCTCTAAAAATAGCTGAGCATTGTGGCGGGTGCCTGTGGTCTCAGCCACTTGGGAGGCTGAGGCAAGAGAATTTCTTAAGCCCAGAAGTTTGATGTTGCTGTGAGCTATGACGCTATAGCATCCTACCAAGGGTGACAAAGTGAGACTCTGTCTCAAAAAAAAAAAAACAAAAACATCAGTTGGAAAGAGTCCACCATAGTTATTCATCTAGTACTTTTTCCTGAAAATGTGACATAGATATTGATGATAGGACATGTTCTCATGGAGATGATAACAAGTATTATTTGTGAGAGCATCTTTTCTTTCCTGGGATTAATGATCAGACACAACTACAGATAAAGCCATACTCTTCCCCACTCTTCAAATTCATAAGTACCGTTGAAGGGGAGCAGGTCACTTCTAGGGAAAGGAAAGAGTGCGGGGGTGGGGACCCAAGGAACTGGTTCACTAGTCAGAGTTATCAGATGTACAATCAAGGCTTCTTAATATACTGTGTGTCCTTCTGGACTTAACTTCCCATTTCCTCATCTAAAACTGGAGTAATACACGTATAAACACACACTATAGGCATACACCAGACCTGGATCATTTTTTTTTTTCTATTTTTGGTAGGGACAGAGTCTTGTTCTTGCTCAAGCTAGTTTCAAACTCCTGAGCTCAAGCAATCCTCTGGCCTCAGCCTCCCACAGGGTAGAATTATAGACATGAACCAAGGCACCCAGACTATTCTCTACTACCTTGAAACAGAATTGTCTAGACAAAGATCACAAAGTCATAGTCACCAGAGATAAGGTCACACCCGAGACTAAAAACACAGATTATAGCTAAGCAAAAATAGCCTGAATACCTGACACTGTCAAGTAGGCCTGAGCCCAACTGCCAAAACCTCCTTTAAAAAAACCTGGTTTCTCTGCTTAAAGGTGGGATGGTGGTCTTCTGAGCTAGTAATCTGTCACCCTTCTCATTTGCCAGCAAATTAATAAACATTTCTTTCCCTCTCCTCAAACCACTTGTCCTCATCCTTCACTCATATGGGTTTGACCTTGGCAACAAGAGCTGAATTTTTGGTAGCAAACGGTACATGCCCACAATTGTTTGTTGAAGGATTAATAACTATATATGCTTGCCCTACAGTCAGAGAGATAGCTAAAGATATAGTGTGATATTCAAATAATATAAATATTTTCAAGATACCAACTACCAAATTAATGCAGAGAAGAAGGTAGTAACTTCTACCTGGAGGGAAGGATTGACTAGGAAAGGATCTGCAAAAGGTGAAAGCTGGATCGGGGTTGACAGATGAAGATGATCACGTGTGAATCAGGAAACTGTGAGAAAAGATTGCTCAGCAGAGAGGAGAGCATTTGCAAAGGCACAAAGGTGTAAACCTGTGTGACTATTCAGGGAACTCAAAATCGTTTCTCTTATTAGAGCGTACAGTGTGGTATAAGTGGCGTATTAATAACACAGATCCTTAAGGACAAAATCTAAATTGTGGAGAACACAGCAGGAAATAGAAAAGTACGAACTGTGAACCTTAGCTTTGTTTTCACGGATAGGATGATTTGAGAATTTCTCTTGCATATCTAGTTCACCTTATAAATTATAGAGATTCCTAGATAAATCAGTTTCTAAAGGTAACACAGTACACACCAAATCATAAAACATAGTCCATAAGGAAACTATATTGAAAATCAAGGTATATAGAAATAAATTGGGCATTTCCTTCTAATAAAGTTTTGGGTTTGCATTTTAGGAATTACCTCAAATTTCTGCTTTTTGTAATGTACTTCTTTTGTTTATTACTAGGTTACTGGAAACAGACTAAAATCCACACTGAATTACCATTTTGTCATTTGTATTATACAGATACAAAGATGAAAATGTTTGCAAAAATTTAAAGAAAGTCAGGTCACATCTAGATGTAACTAAGAGTTGACAAGGTGAGTTAAAACTCATCACAGCCTTACTTTTCTAGAAATGGAAAAACTCCAAGAAAGATACTTTGCATAGTGGGTGCCTGTGGTTCAAAGGAGTAGGGCGCCGACCCTATATGCCGGAGTGGTGGGTTCAAACTGAGCACTGGCCAAAAGAAAAAAAAAGATAATTTGTATAAATAATCATAAATGGTTTCTTTTTTTATTTACTTATTTTTAGACAGAATCTCATTCTGTCACACTTGGTAAGCTACTGTGGTGACACAGCTCACAGCAACCTCAAAATCTTGGGCTCAAGTGATCCTCTTGCCTCAGTCTCCTGAGTAGCTGGGAATATAGGCACCACCACAACACCCAGCTAATTTTAGAGATGGGGTCTTGCTGTGGCTCAGGCTAGCTTTGAGCTTGTAAGCTTAGGCAATCCACCCTCTTTGGCCTCCCAGAGTGTTAGGATCCTAGATGTGAGTCACTATGCCTGGTCCCATAAAGGTTTCTCTGAAAATAACAAGTATATACCAGAAGTTTGAATACTAGGGGACTATATGACATTGATGCTTGGTTTAGCTCCCAAAGTTGTACAATAGCCTGAGTCAAGATTTAAACTTGGAGAATTCATATAAAAATCCAGAATTCTCAGTACTTTTGAAAACAACTGAAAAATCAGATAACTCTGTCAATATTACCTAAACCGCAGTCCCCTGGAGGGTGGAGACACTCTCTAGCTTGCACTAAGCCACTGTCCTCATCACTCCAGACCATGTCCCTCATGCATGTTATACGCCGAAGCCTCCGTGTCAGACCAAAACTATGAATCGAGGATAAGCTGAAACTACCCAAAAGACTGGGAACTGTTTAGAATTTGATCATTTGTAATACTGAGAAGTGAACATAACATGCCATTTAAAAAAAAACATCTAAATAAGGAAAATTTCAGACATTCAATCTTTTCTTTCTTAGATTTTGTTTCTTAATTAGAGTCTGCCAAAACAAAAAGCCAAACAAACAAATCTGGGATAACAATACTTCCCCCTGAATAGTAAGCTATTTGTTTTGGCCTCAAGTCAACACAATACAAATGGCATAGTACAATCATCAAAAAATACATATCACACGTTTAATCTATGGTTTGCATAAAAGTACCTCACTATTGTACACCTTTCAATATAGCAAATATAAAGTGTTTTCTTTAAACAGCCTGGCATGTTTTCCATATCTAAACTGTTCCAGACGAGGAGATATTAACCCAGAAATGTCATTTCCACAGGACGTGGCAAGCACTTACCTTCGCTATCTGGACACACCAGTTCAGCAGCAGCTGTGATCCGATGTTATCCTTGTGCTCGTGGACGTACTCCAGTAGGCAGCCATGGGGCATGAGCTGAGTCACCAGCTGGATGGTTGGACTCAGACACACACCTAGTAACCGGACTAAATGTGGATGGTCCATACTTGCCATAATCAGAGCTTCCTGTAAGAAAAAAATAAAACGCCATCATCTCAACTCTGAGTTCCTTACAGCTATAGCCACCTGCATTGTACTAACTGTGGTGATAATGATTTTGAAAATGTCTTCTCACTCAATGGAATCAATTAAAAATGAAAAGATGTTCTTGCAACTATTCTATCTTTAAAGCAATTCAATTCAATTCAATTCAATGAAAAACAGACTATACATTTATTAAAATGGAAGCTGTGATAGAATGACTGCCATATAATTAACAGTAGTATCTTCTTCTTTGCAATGTGAAAAATACTAGATTTTGTTGGTGCCAGGTAAGTTGAAATACATCCCAACTTATATGGTGAGTTTTTAACCTTTAACCTTGGTTCTATATTACAATAATCTGCAAAAGTTATTATTTGCAAGTAGAGTAAGATGACCCAGACTTAAGTCACCCATGATTGGTATAGATTTGGGCAGCACATGACGGTGTGATGTGTAAATTATAAACAGAAAAGTATAAATAATTATAAATAATATGCTTATTGTCAACTTATATAAAAGAATAAACATTTTAATAAGACACTTGTTCTATAATTTTATCTCACCTCAAATTGATTTCATTTCAAAATTGTAAATGATGCTTTATTTACAGATTCATGAAACTTCAGAGCTAGGTAAAACTATAAAAATTTCTACTCGAATTTCTTCATTTCATGAGAAAATTGGATTATACTTTTCTTTTTTTATCATGAAGCCACCTTTGCTTATTAGAGATAAAAACACACATGTGATAGTTAGTTAGCACACCCTAAAGCTAGCTTCCAATCAGAAGTTTACAATTTGAAACAGATATAAATATAGAATATATGTTTATGTACTTCATCATGTGCTTTTATGTTATAAAAGAAAGATAATGTTAATCTGCAAAAATAATAGTCAAATTTTGCTTTTAAAAGCTAAATAATAAAACTAACACAGAAAACTATAAAACCCATAAAAATAGTATAGGGAAAACTATGAATCTTGCCAGTCTGGGAAAAGAATTTGTGATGGTGACTTCATTGGCAATTGAACAACAACAAAAATAAATAAATGGGACCTAATAAAGTTTAAAAGTTTCTGTATGACTAACGGTACAATCACATGGCAAAGAGACAACACTCACAACAAGAGAAGCTATTTGCATGCTATGAATCCGACAAAGGGCTAACCACCAGAATCTACACAGAACATGAGCAAATCAACAAGAAAAGAGCAAAGGGTTGCATTAAAAACTGGGGAAGAACATAAACAGTACTCATTTGCTCATGAGTGCAAATGAATGGCCACCAAACACATGAAAAAAGGCTCGTCATCTCTAATTATCAGAGAAATACAGTTCAAAACCACTTTGAGACAGCGTCTAACCCCAGTGAGAATGGAGCACATCAGAAGGTCCCAAAATAACGGATGTTGGTATGGGGGTGGAAGGAGAGAAGGGAACACTGTTGGGGGGACTGCAAACTAGTATAGCCTTTATAGGAGAAGCATGGAGAGTCCTCAAACAACTAAAAGTAGACCTTCCCCCATTTGATCCTGCACCCAAAAGAAAAAATGCCATTTTACCATAAGGAAATTCGCACTCAAATATTGTGACTCACTTCACAATCACAAAGATGTGGAAACAACCCAAGTGCTTTTCAACCTGTGAATGGACTAATAAACTGGTATGTGTAGACATGAAATACCATTCAGTCATAAAAATGGAGATTTTGTATCTTTTGTAACCAACGATCTGGATGGATTTGGAGAACACTCTCATATGTAAAGGACTGCAAGAATGGAAAAAAAACCTGTACAATACTAATAGTACCTCACCAATACTAAGTTGAAACTAGTAGATTAACACCCACTTGCTTACACGAGAAAAAAAACAAATTCAGAAAGAAGGGAGGAGAGGGAGGATTGATAAGTTCCCACCCAACAGATACAATACGCGGGTATATGGCACACTTCTGAGTGAAGGACAAAACACTTACTCAGATTTTACCTTACAAAGGTAACAATGTATCCTAATCATCTCTACCCTCCTAACAATCTGAACTTAAAAACATAAAAACTACATAACATCAGCTACATTGTGTATTTGTCAATAATACTTCACTTGACTCTGATCACAAGGCAACAGTGGGACAAATCTACATTCTAGAAAACTATGCAGAGAAATTGGCCTGAACCCATTTAAAATGTGAATACTGGGAGACACGTAAAATGAGGCTGTGGCAGTCAAACTAAAGTTCACTGTGGAGATAGGGCAATATTGAGTCTTTGACTCCTGGATTAAGAAAAAAATACAGGAATTTATTGGAACAATTGACAAATAAAGACTCTATATCTTATTTAATATTTCAGCAATGTTATATATCTGAGATTGATAATGGGATTGTAGATATTTTTGATCTTAGGAGATCTTAGAATATTTATGGATGAAGTATCCTATATCTGCAACTTACTTCCAAATGGTTTATTCAGAGAAATAGAAAGAAACAGAACAAGAGATACATATGTACATTATCTATTTTTGTTTATTTGTGTGTACCTATATACACATACACAAACAGAGGGGGTCTCACCAATTGCAGTTTGTTGTCAATTGGTTTGTCTATAAGAGATGTAGCGTATTCATGGTATTATTCTCAAGCATTTTCTATAGCTTTGAAAAATTTCAAAAAAAAATTGAGGACAGAAATCTCTATTGAGTTTCTGTTTTAGGGATAGCATGGCAGATTGAATACATAAATTACTTTTCCGTCCTCTCAATTCCACTATACTGACAATAAATGAATTGATAAAAATGTAGACATCACCAGTTGCAGAAAGGAGGCAATATGGATGGATAGAAGAATGAAAGTAGAAAGTGGCTTATTTATTAGTGCTTGCTGACTTAGCAAACATAGAAAATCTGAAGCCTAATTCCACAGGAGGGGAAACTAAGAAGTAATCTAGTGATATCTTATAGACCATCACAGGCTCAGCCGTGGTAGTGCCACAAACCTCTCTACATGTAGGGAAAGGACTGATTTCAGCAGGATTGCATCAAAGTACATGTAGGAAGCACTTGGACTAAAGATGGTCTCCCCTTCACCTTCAGGAAGGTCTAAATGAACCAAAGGAGGTGGACAGGAAAGATGTCAGGTACTAAGGCAAAAGAAGTTCTAGGGGAAATGAGGTTACATTAATTTATACATAATGAAAATATTGACCACCCTCTAGTTCCTTTTCCCAAATGGAGCTACCACTTCAAAATTCTGAAAGTCCTGTTTAATCCTAGAATGTTATGCCCAGCAACAACATTTTAACTCAGTGAATGCCCACGACAAACAAGATGAGACATAAGAGTTCTTTTTTCTTTTTCTTTTTTTTTTTTTTTAAGACAGACTCTCACTTTGTTACTCTCAGTAGAGTGCTATGACATCACAGCTGACAGCAACCTCAAACTATTGGGTTTCCTAAGTGATTCTCTCGCCTCAGCCTCCTGAGTAGCTGAGACTAAAGGTACCTGCCACAATGCCCAGCTATTTTTAGAGACGAGGTCTTGCTCTGGCTCTGGCTGGTCTTAAACCTGTGAGCTCAGGCAATTCACCCGCTTTAGAATCCCAAGTGCTGGGGTTATAGGCGTGACCCACTGCGCCCAGCCCACATGACAGATCTTTAAAAATTACCCTCCCTGCTTACTTTCATTGTTACATGTGCCCATAAAAGGGCATGAGGACATTTAAAAGAGTACACGAAACTGAGAAAACAGGCAATCAACATGAGATGTGAAAACCCAAAAAACGATAGTGAAGGGTTAGTCCAGAATAAAAGCTGTGTAACAGAACAAAATGGCAGCCAGCCCAGACTTGAATGGGAGGTATCATTCATGGGAAAACTGACCCAAGGGATGGAGTTGATATAATACCTAATGAGCTTGAAATTCAGTAAGAGGATATTTATTTTTGTAGTAGGAATTGAATGTCAGATTAATAATAGATACACAGAAAACTAAGCTAAAGTAAAAAAAAAGAAGAAATTAATTTGAGGTAGAATATAAAGATATGCACAAGAATGGAAAATCATCATAGTCGCACACAGCGCAGCTGGGGATAGTTACACAGTCATGATTCTGTAAACGCAGACTGTCAATATAAACACATGTCCTGTATCTCTATTGGACGACAGAGGCCAGGCTGGTACACCTCTAGGTGCTGATGGGAAGGGACGGACAGGACATTACTGTAGCTGATAGCAAGAAGTTAGCATATAATACCTAAGGCTGAAAAATCAAGAGTTGAGACTATAAGCGTATTATTTAGAGATATGGAGTTAAGTAAGAGAAGAAATTTCCAAAAATTTTAAAGTGATTACTTTGGGCAGTGGAAGGAAAACGGGGGCTGGGAGGGGGCAGCAGGCTAGCTAGAGGGCTGCCTTTCATCCTCAGCCTGGCCCGAGCATTTGACTTTTATTATCTTAAAGTTATTTGGGAAGACATAATCCACTTTTATCTTCCACTACTATTTTATTGCTGTTGAGTGCAGCTAAGCTGAAATGTTATTCAGAATTATGAAGTGTGTCTGATGGACTTCCCAGATCCAGTCAACAGTTGACTCTGAAATCCAACATTTTATTTTTTCAGTAAGCAAGAGTGGGGCAGTGTGGGCTCGTGCCTGGAGACAAGACTGAGACAAGGCCAAACAGAGGGGTAAGCTGGAAAAATGGCACCAACGTTACCTCAAAGGATTTTTGGTTTCTGAGCCTTATGGCAAAGGCTGAAATCACTGTTTTCCAGATGGCTTCCAAATAGAAAGATGCTCTAACTCCCTCCCAGAAGAATGAGAACAAAGAAGAGAGCCCATTTCTACACCTCCTTGCTGAGCCCACCACAGCTCCAATGCCGTGAGGATTAGCAGCTCAGGAGCACTGAAAGTCTCCCCCCAGCGAAGGCTCTGGCCCCTCACAGGATGCCAATCTGCAGCACAGGGGGGAGACCTCTCCAGGGGCTTGGA